TTTGGTGTATAAAAATTCAAAAAAATGTTTTTGTTGCTTTTTAATGTAGAAATCGGTGTTATGTGATTTATCAATCTTGCTTATAACTATTTTATTTGTATTTTTAGCATGTCCAATAAATTTATTTAAAAAATTAATTTCTGTATTAGTAGTTGAAATTTATCACGAAATCTTTTTTTATTTATTGCGAATGTTTTGGTAAAAAGATACATTTATCGCAGGATTAATTAGATGTTGGTAAATAAATTTGATTGTATAGCATGAGAAAAGAAAAAAAATATTCATGCAACATATCGATCCAACATTATTAATTGTATTACTTTAGAAAACCCCAAGTACAATTTTAACGATGCAATTATAAATTCAAAATATGATTATAGGCAGCAACATCAAGTAAAATACATCATTATGTTAATAGGATCTAAGTGCCAATAGAATTACTCGGTATTAGTGTTCTGGTTTTTTTTGTTTTAAATATTTAACAATCCAACTCAAAAATAGGATTTTGTCACTAAAGTTTATAAATCAACTTAGTTTTTTTAAGAATAGTCAAATACTTTGAAAGCATAGTCCATCTCGCCTACACATGGGAAATGATACGTCCATAGGATGATGTATCCATTTTTCTTGTGGAGTAGTTGTAATGAATTAAAATTTCAAAATCACGTCAAGTCTTAAATTCAATGTTTTTAGATAACTTTGAAATCATTCGATGGGTTTGAGCAACTTTGAATCGCTTCAAACTCCTTTCAAAGACTTTCGCAGTTCTTTAAAAATCCCAAATAATTGTCAATGACTCCAAACAACCATCGATGACTTTTCAAAGACTTTGAGAGACATGTTGTTATTTCTTGACTTCATGGAGTGCTCACACAGCCAAATAATGCTCGCTCTTGAATGCACGCGGAACCATTCCACCAGAGAAATGGTTGATCCGTTTTTCCCCCATTTCCCTTAAAAATTGCCACATTACAAACTGTTGCTCCCATCCGTCTCTTTCCCTTTCATCTCCGGTATGCTCGTCCCTCCTCATCCTCCTCAACGGTACACACGATTATCTCTTCCCACGCGCTCTCGGAAAAGCCAAAAGGAATGGCAATGCAAACAAGCGTACACGTCCACCCCCCCTCCCCTTCTCAATCTCTTATTCACCAAAAAAAAATAAAAGCCCCGACGCTGCCACCACACCGCTGCCGTTAATTTCATAATGAGCGTGCACTTTCACCCGCACTGTATACTGTGGGTGTATATACATGTAGCTGTAGGCACGTGGCTTTGCCGTCGCAACTTACGACGGCAAAGGTAACAACAATGACGACGAAGATAATAATAATAATAATAAAAAAAAGGGAGAGAAGTATTAAACGCGTGTACAGGCCACGTCGCGAGCTCTGCCGAGATAGCGCCTCCGACTGTATATATATGTGCAGGTGAATGGGAATTTCGCGTTATGACGAGCTATCGCGAGGGTGACGCAAGAGGGTATATATATATATGCAAGTGGCGCGTTAGCGATGGATCGGTGCAAGAGTACTCGCTCGGTTTTATACGAGTGTAAGTTTGTGGATCGTTGTCTGACGCGCCGCTGCTCTTGGGGCAAATTTTACGGAGTTGCGCATCGATTATATGTCTCTTTCTATCGGCGCGTTAACGAAAGGTATACGTATAGAGGCGCCGTCTATAGAGACCCGTAATCGCTCGTTTTGTTTGATTCGTTGCGGATGTGCTGTACATGTTAGGAGTCGCGGGGGCATTGCCCATTTGAATCCGTGGAGGAGGCGTGACTCTTCAATTTGTCGCGACCGCCCGCTGGGATGAGCGGACCATTGTCGATTGGATCGTGTAATCATCATCCGTTAAGTAAGATGGTATACCTGCATACTCTCGGTGAATGACGTCTTTGTAGAGAGATAATATTTTTTTTAATTGAACGGGGGGTTGGCTCTGATGAGGTTTGCTGACTGAATGTGCATTTACGGCGGAAATGAAGAATTCAATGGTTTTTTTCTTATTTGCTTTTTTTTTTTAATGTTACGTTTAATACACGTGATTATCATGGCAAAAAATCTTTGTGGGAGGAAAAGCGATGACATTTTTAATTGAGACAACCATTAGGTATAAAATAACGTTGGAATCTGTAACATGGAAGATAAGAGATCTTTTGTTTGAAAAATTGTCTCCTTCAGCTGGTGCCATTATTTTACCTTCTATACTTTATTCACGCAAGTTTCTTCGTGCATTCAAATTGTAGGTTTTTTGGTTTTTGTTTTAAATAAGCTCTAACGTGACTGCAATTACATACGACTCGTATAAAATGATTAGCCTCGAAAATGAAGCAGTTGACTATTATGTAATAATTATTCACCAGCAACTACTGAACCATGTCCTTTGCTACTTTTTCCCGATATGGATCGCGAAACAAAGCAACGTAAAATACAGCGAAACAAGAGGTCCATCATCGAGTCCAAAAAGTGCCAAACAGAGGTGGGAAGGGGAAAAACCTGGCGCTTGTGTCCAGAAACAACGCGAGGGGGATTATTAATTGAGCGACGGTGTCCAAGTATGGATGAAGTATTCAGAGACAAAACGGAGAAAGCGCCGTTGGCTGAGCGCAAAACAAACCGGTAGTCACTGAGGCACGATTCGATGGCCTCTTCGGTGCAATAAGCATACACGCGTCGAGGACTCCTCCGGTGCAAAAGATGAATCCCATCGCATGACTAATGAGACTTTTTCGTTTGACTGATAACACTCGAGGCCGTACCCGTGCACATTATATGCACGTACAAATGCACTATACGTTGTCGTGATCGCCGCTCGTGGGAATCTTCGATTTCGAGACTGTGTAATACACGTCTCTCCCTCTCCGTGTTGCGGCTCGAGCGTGTACCGATGTTGCCGATCCCGGCTTTTACGAGAAAATTGAAAGTGATACTTACTTTTGTTCTGCCCACTATGGATATAGTTGTCGGCGAAAATGTTTAATATATGTATGTATGTATAGGGGCTAAGGAGGAAAATGCTGTTGCTTATGTAACCCAAAATACAATCATCGTTAGCGAGGGATTTCGATGGCGTATACGCGTGATGATGATTCTCGGTGGTTTTTAGTTTGTTCGTATACTCCTTAATTCATTAGTGAAATCGATGTGAGATTCTATTTTTATGTAATACAAACTGTTTGGTTGACGCGATGCGCTCCCCACGTACGGATGTTCACTAAAAACCAACCGAGTCGCTAAATAAGTCATTTTCACTTGATACTTTGGTTCATCGTCGCAGGTAGAATTTATTGTCACTGTGACCCTATATGATTTTACTTCAATAAACGTTTAATTGTTCATTCTTTCACAATATCTGGTAAGTATATAATAATTATAGTTTATCATGCCCACCGTATCCGTTGGGTTAGCTGGTGAATTGCCATCGTACGATAAGACAATTCCAAATGCTTGATTATCACAGTTTATCATATGCCTGCGCGCTACGATACTTACCTAGATTCACCTGTTAAATTGTATCACTTCTAATGATGTAGATAAATACTTATCTCTTTTATCGTGGCACTAGAAATGCACTTTCCTGATGTTCAGTGCAAGAATGATGAAGTAGCTCCTAATATGCTTCGTCAGAAAAATCTAGAAACGCATGATTATATTGTATTTTATTCTGCAAATCCGTTAAAATGAGACTCACCAGATTAATGTAAAGAATTTTTTCTGATTTAGCTAATATAGTAAATTTTTTTGGATTAACGGTGTAGTTATAAAAAAAAAATTAATAAAAATAAAAATAGTAATGAAGGAAAAAAAAGGAAAAGGTAGAAAATTAATAAAACATCTTTATTAGGACTATCTAGAATTTATTGACATTTTTTTTTTTTTTGATGCTGTAGCACTAAATATTATTTTCACATTTTAACGTTGATAAATGCGCGAAAAAGTTATGCTTCAACTCTTAGACGCCGTGAGTCCACAAAAGACTATAAAAAACACGTACCAATAGTATCAAAGACACCACATGCACACGACTCCACACACGATTTCTCGGTTTGACGGGAGCCCTTGGGCTCATTGACTTTTTTGTCTGAGCTTACACGCGAAGATTTACCCGAGGACGAAGATGTCGATTTCCGTAATTCTACGAAAGATGAAGTGTTCGATTTGTCCTGCAAACATGGCTGTTTTTCAACAACGTCACTTGAGGTCAAATGATACAAGTTAGTGGTTGACATTGTTACGTGTGTCAGTTAGACTCCTATCGATTAGTTAGAAATAAAACTTTTTAAGGCGTGATTGACTCTGTAGTCGATTTGAACACCAAACGATGACTAGATACAATATTCTTTTGAATTTTCATCTACAAGCTTTTATCTCGAGTTTAATAAGGCTGGCAGCAAAAAGAGAGGGACATGGCTCGATTTAAAGGTGAAAGAGGGACAAGAGCAAAGAAGATTTTTATTTTGTTTCAATAGTTAATTATGCTTGAGCTCACCTTTTTAAATTATCTAATTAATTTATCTTAGTTAATTAAAACTTAAAGCGATATTCAAGCTAACAGTGAGTAACATGACGAACGAACCTACAAACTTGTTCGAGGCTATTCGGTTACGTTAAATAAAAATATAATTGAAGGGTACTTGTATGTTCAGCAGAATAAAAAAAATAAACGAAGGCCCTTTGTAATTAAAAGATGCTACAATTAATTTGACTTTTTTAATAATAATTTTTTTTTTTTTTTTTTCTTTAGAACAGAGGCTAGAGAGTACTCATACTTTTTGTTCCTTCTACCTTGGCGTTTTAGAATTTTTCAAAGTATTATACTGCAGACTACTTTCTTTTTGGCATAAGCTATTAGAATTCTTTGACATGCGTTACAAAAAAAAAAAAAAAAAAAAAAAAAAAAAAAAAAACTGTCCCGCATATTTATATTTATTCTAATATCCAAACCCAAGGTAAGAGCTATGGTAACGACTTGTTCATTTTCTTACAGGATTAACCATGAAATTTCACGCATTGGCTTTTGTCGTGCTGGTGGTGAGCATAGGAGCCGCCACCGCCGAGGATGATACGCCAGCTGACGTTATGGCAAGGAATATCCTCGAGTGGATACAGGGAATTTATCGACAGGGAGCTAGAAAGCGTAAGCCAATAAAATCCATATGTCTTTCGATAATGAAAGTAAATTTGTAGCGCGTTGCACAAACAACATCTCAGCTGCGTGAAAGGATGTAAAAGCTATGAAAAAACCAAAATCTCTGGAGATGTATGAAACGAAAAATAAAAAATGGTAATGATTAACGTCTTGCAGCGCGGCAGCAATCGGACAGCAACGCGTACCTGCCACCGTACAGTACGCAGCGTCCACCCGAGCGGCCCCGTCCGTTCCAGCCGGCGTCAACGCAGCAGCCACCCCCGTACTCGAACCCCAGCCAGAACGAGATAGGCGGTTACCCGGACTACGGCGGCAGGCCCTCGTCGACGCCGGGCTTGACCACCGGCAGGCCAAGCTACGGCCCGAGCAACACCGGCAGCACCGGCTACAACTCGCCCTCCTCCGGCTCCTCGCCCGGCTCTAGCTCCTCGTCCTACGGGGGCTTCCCGAGCACTTCCACGACCTACCTACCGCCCACCCAACCGCCTTCCTCCAACGGACCCGGCTACCCTTACCCGTCCCCGGGTAGCAGACCCACCCCTGGTTTTCCCACTCCTGGAAGGCCCAGCCCTGGATTCCCCACCCCTGGTAGGCCCACGCCAGGGCCCACGCCTGGACAAGCTCCTGGATCCACGCCTGGACGACCTGGTAACCCATATATATGTATACTCCATTGATCGCAATATTAGACATTGTGCAGTAGTTTACTTGGGGCGTGGTTCTGGGCAAGCATATGGGTTGAACAAAAATTTCGTGAAACAAGTTATCGGCATTTTCACTCATTTTAGCACCAATCATGGCCTCTTGTGGAAAATTACTCTTAATTCAAAGTATTGAGAAAAGTTTTTTATGAAAAAAAAACCACGTACAATATTTAAAAAAAAAATCTAAATTACATTTTTAATTCTTAAAATTATCAATTCAGAGCTTGTAGTTTTAAGAGAACAGATAGATTAGCTACGTACGTTTTGGTATAGGTATTCCTTTAAGTTTCACTGAGGCATTCGACGATAAACTAGCTCAGCTGTACAATTGTCAACAATTCCATCGTAAATGAAAATAAAATCCGTCTATATCTCTAGGTTTGTGCCTACATACTTTACTAGACTTATTTTTAAGTATTTTATTCAATGATAGAAAGGTAGAAGCCACTGTTCTTTTTGATCTAACAAGTACATCTTTGTTTCAAATTATATTAAACTGTTTGAGGAAAAATAATATGTACACATCGGAGCTGTAAAATCACCAAATAAATTTTTTCGTTTGATATCACACTTTAGGACCTGGCCCGGGCTCGGCCCCAGGACCTGCACCAGGACCCGCACCAGGACCCGCTCCAGGGCCAGCTCCCGGACCAGCTCCTGGACCTTCTCCTGGACCTCGTAAGTTAGCTAGTTTCTGTAGAAATAAATACTCTTTTACTATACACTTATTTTGAGAGGATAACAAGGAAAATAAATCTCATTTTTCTATAACTATAAAATCATTAATATAAAAGTATCTTAAATCAACAGAAGAGTTTCCTAAGATATTGAAAGAACCCACCCACTGTAGTAAGAAACATGTAACAAATAACCACTCACTATTAAATATATTTTTTCCGGAGCTCAAGTCTAGAATTTGATTATCTTTGAAAGGCGAATAATTGTACATAAGACCTCAAAAATTGTGGTTATCAGGCGTGTATTATTATTATTATTATTATTATTGTTATTATTATTATTATTACTACTATT